GGATGCGTTTATGGATTTAAAGTCTGATTCGCAAGAACCTCTTTTTGTTAGAAATTCCAGGTCAAAATACTTTTCAACTTAGTCAAGAAACTATATTTCTTAAAAATAGTTTTATTAATCATAACGCAATACGCGCCTTTTTATAAGTGACAATAAGAGGGATCGATTAGGGATAAACTCGGTTCTGAATACGCGAAAGCGACAGTTCCCGTTAAATTAGTTTTTTTCATTAGTAGAAAACATTACCCCATAAGGCATTCTATTTATACACATTTAGAATACTACGTAGCTATGTGAATTGCATCTATGCCTGTTGTTTTATTATTGAATTTATTTACCGCATTTATTTCCGCACTTTACTTTTATTTCGCACAACTCAACCTTTTATTTGACTTGCCTTAGATAAACATCGTAACACTAGCGAACGATAGATTGACGTTTGATCTCTGTGGGATCGATAATCTTTTCTATTACTCTGACGCTATTTATGTACTTGTGAATCGCCCATCAAATATCACACAATAATTACCTCTATTTATGCGACACTCAAACTGCTAATAAAAGCAAGATCCCCATAAATCTTTATCCAATAACCTTGCTATCCATTATAACCTGCTCCAAGTATTCTTGTGTGGCAATCCTTCTTATCCCACAGATTTCATTTCTGAGCGATTACCATTCGCTAAACGTTGATTGGACAACTCCAAAATTTGTCCATGAACAGTCTTTACACAACTTCACCAAAGTTGGAAACCTTCCAACTCTGCCTTATGAACAATTTGTGATTGACCTCACTAAAGTCTTCAACGGAGTATAATGAAACTCTCTTTTTGATAGATATCAATAAGAACCAAACTGCATTCAAGAAATTATACTTGCATTTGTTACAAACAGCAAGCTTCACAGAAAATTATTAGATACCCTAAAGTCTTCGTCGCCGATTTTTCGGGGGACTATCTACGCCTACGTTGTACTACGGTCTTTGCGGTCGGGTTGATGGACAGCTGATGGCAAGCGACCTCGGGGTCGACTCTGGGCATTTCCGCGGCGCTCCAGGCGAAGAGATCGACGTTCTCACGGAGGCAAGCCTGTAGTTATCTCCTCGCTAGGTCGGGGAGCCCTGCTCCGATCTTCACGGTTCTGTTTTCGTCGTCCCCGAGTGTTACAATCTCGAATTCACCGTCTGGGGTGGGGAGCGCTGGGTGGGTGGGCTGCCCGTTGGACTGGTTGGCTTGGTTGGCCTCTTCTTCGCGGTCGTGTTCTTCGATGAAGCGGCTGTCGAGGTCCACTGAGCCGACGAGCTCCTTGGGTTTGCTCTTCGGTGTCATGGCGGGGGCTGCCTTTTTAGTTGCTGGGACGATGGTGCTCAGCCCTTTCAGCGCGGCCTCGATGCATCTTCGGGCAGCGTTGATGTCGCCATTCAGGGTCACCACAGCTCTGCGCCTTGTATAGTATTTCATTTTTAGGTGGGCGTGGAGGGTACCGCGGTGAGTTCTGCCATCGTCGTCCTGCCTAGGATACAGTTGTAAAGGGACGGGCACTCGATGACCAGGAAGCGGATATTGATCTCCCTGGAAGTTTCATCCTCCCCGAACGTAACTTTTAGCTCTACGTACCCCCACGGTCTTGTCGTTGTCCCGTTGAACCCTTGGAGGTCAGAGCCCACGTAGGGGGATAGGTTGGATTCGTCGAGTTGGAGGGTCGTGAAGAGGTGGGCGTACATGATGTCCACCGAGCTGCCTCCGTCGACCAGGATGCGTCTGACATTGAAGTTCGCCATTTGTGCCCGTATCAGCAGGGGAATGTTGGAGTTGGGAGAGCCCCGGGAAAGTTCCTCGAGGTAAAAGGTGATCGGATTGGATCGGCCGCGAAATTTGTAGAGAGTGCTCATCTTGCCGGAGTTGCTTGTGATGAGCTCTTCGAACTTTCTTTTTACCAATCCTACGGACAGGTTCCTCAGGGGTCCGCCGGAGATGACCATGGCTCTTGGAAAGTATTCCCATCGACTGGTGGGGCGTACCGGCTCGTCGGGCAGATCGGGCCGTCGGGGAGGCCGAATTCTCTGTGAGCGAACCAATCCTCAAGGCGGCTGACGCAGAGGGCGACCCGGAGGCCGTTGTCACCGTCCGAAGAGGGAAGCTCTTCAAATTTCTTGGCCTCGGGAGCGTCTTGCCTCGGGGTCTCTCCTCCCCGGGTGTATCTCTTCAGGTGGTCGTCTTTAATCAGGATTTCGATCGCGTCCTTGAGGTGGATGCATTCTTCTGTAACGTGCCCGTGGCTCCTGTGGAAGCGGCAGTACTTCGATTTGTCCACGTTAGGCTTGGGGGGTGTCGGTATGGGGAAGCGGACACCTCCCTGGATGAATTCGGTCTTGGCGCATTCGGCTAGAATGCGCTCGCGGGAAGCGACTAGGGCGGTATACTCCATGAATCGGCCGGCGGGACCCCGCTGATCGCGTTGTTCGCGGGGGCGGTCCTCCCGTCGGCGATCACCTCCACGTCGGTGGCTTGAAGCTCCGTCCTCTCGGTGCCCGCGGGGGGCTTCTCTGTCTCGCGTGTCTCGGACGGAGTTGGTTGCTTGGGTTTCCTCGAACCGGTGTATGCCCACGGCCTCGTAGAATTTGGAGTTGCGGCGCAGGCCCTGCTCCATTAGGTAACGCTTCATCTCGTCTGACGTCGTCACCTGCACCGCCTCCCGTGTGAATCTTTCGATGTACTTCTGGAGAGGCTCGTCGGGAGCTTGGATTATAGCGCCGAGTGCGGCTTCCGTCTTCGGATGGCGTCGGGATGTTGTGAAGTGTTTCGAAAACAGGTCCTTCAGAACCTTCCACGACGTAATTGATTCGGGATCCAGACTTTTGTACCACGTCATGACACTTTTCCTCAGCGTCGTCGGGAATAGTCTGCACTTGATAGCTCCTCGGACATTTCGGTAGTCGAGCATGGCCTCGATGTCTTCCAGGTGATCGTCTGGGTCAGAGGTTCCTTCGTATGTCGAGAGCGTCGGGGGCTTCTCCATCCCGTGGGGAATGGGGGCGGCCATGATTTCCCGAGATAGAGGAGTCTTGTAGTCGTCTTCGTCGCTGAGAGTGGGTGACCGATGGGGAGACGAGCCATTTGGTGGAGGCATCTGGTTTCGGGGCCTCGACCTCCTGACCAGGGGTTCGACGCGCGAAGGTCTGGTCGGGGGCTCTGCTCTATTTTGCCGTCTCTCACGAACTTGTCTCGTTGGGGATCTGGTCCGCTCCCACACTACTTCGGTTCGGGGCCTCTCCAGCCGGGGTCGTCGATCTCTGGGACGAGGCGAAGGGCTCCTCGAGTTCCCGTTCTGGTCTTCCCACGGAGGGGACCTTGGCGGAATCTCGCGCTCTAGTGCGCCAATCCGTGCGTTCTGTTGAAATAACAGGTGGTTCGTCTGATTGATGGCCGTGAATAGGACGGGCACAGTCGGGTCCGCTCCGGCCGGGATAGGAACAGGCTGGAACGCTGCTGGGCTCTGAGGTCGGTGGACAGCCTGGTGTGCTGCTTCCGCGAACGAAAGAGAGGCGGCCCGGTCGTCTCTCTCGTCAGTCTTCTGTGGACGGGACGTCTCTGTTTGCTTGTTGCCGTTCGCGGCAGGGGTGAGGATGAAGTCGGGAACGACATCGTCGTGGTGTGGGCTAGCCATGATCGTGGAGTGTTGGTGAAACTTTGGTTTGCTGCTCAGAGTAACGGGGAAGTTTTTCTTCCCACAGACGGCGCCACTTATCTGACCTGATCAGAAGGGGATCACTAGCTGGTCACACTCTGTTGGGTTGCTGCCTGTTCACCGGTGATGAGGAGGAGGAGGGGGTGTACCTACAAGGCACTCCGATGCCAAAGTAAGTATATGGGCAGAGTGGTCACAAGCACAGAAAAGGGGTAAGAAGTGAATTACCTGACCCTCTTGTGGAAGAAGGTATTTATAGAGAGACCCCAGCGCTAGGCAAACGGTCACTTGCGTTGGGCTGGATTGTCAGGCCCAACCCAGGTGACTGCTAGGGCTTATGTGGCGTAGTGAAGACCATGACGTGGTCTTCGCCCTAGTCCAACTGTCCCGTGATCTCCGGAAAGTGGGTTTGACCTGTTCTTCGGAGGTGGGCAGTTGGTCGGTGACGTGTCCCCGCGGAGGGGAGCACGTGGAGAACGTGTGAAGGACACGTTGTCTTGCCCGACCAAGGAGCAGGTTCTGCCCGCGGAGGGGAGCTCGCGAGGTTCCCCGAAGGTGTGTTGTTCTCCCCGCGGAGGGGAGCACACGAGGGCGTGAAGGAGACATGTTGTCCTGCACGTTGGCATGGGAATTTAGCCCGCGGAGGGCTGTTCTACCCGACGAGAGACTGTGGTTGGCAGCGCGTCCCCGCGGAGGGGAGCGCGCAGAGAACGTCTTGAGACACGTTCTGCTCGACGGGAGCATGCCCTGCCTGTCGAGGAGTCACGTACTCGGTCGACCTACTTAAATCGTATTGGACCTTTATTGTGTGTCATTGAGTTGGGCCGCAAGTTGACGCCGGGGCCCAGACCAGAATAGAATGCTTAAATGATCAACCTAAAAAAGATAATCAAGTACTACATATTAAGGAACCTTCGAAATGATTTTTCACCTTTGCGCCAAAACAAAAAAGAGAGAAAATTAGAACCTAAGAAAGGAGTGCACAGTCCAAAAAACAAAGGAGTTCGGATATATAAAAGAATAAGGTTATATAAATAAATGACATTTCCAACAAATGCTAAAACATAAAATAACATATTAAAAGCCGGCACATGTAAAAAGCGCTTTTCTGAAAAAATGGTAAAGGTTATAATACAAAGAATACACTCAAGTTTCTATGGCAAACTCTGGTTTCTACCTAATTTCTATATGTAAAATAGGATTAAAAGGATTACAAAGAATATACTCACTCATTCGTTTCTCAAAGCCACCAAAAGCAAAACAAAAAAAGAAAAGAAACATAGCAAATCAAATACAGAAAATGGGAAAATAGGTTAGTTAACTTCAGTGCTCCTATCTTTGCAGAGCATATGCCACTCTTGTAGTACTGCTGCTTGAAGAGCTTGATGTTCAGCTTCTTCAGCAGTTAATTTGGATAGCGTTGAAGGTCCCTTCTTTTTGTCATCTTCATCGCCATCCTTCTTTTCGTCTTTATCCTCTTCTTCATCTTCCTCGTCGTCGGATTTTGGAGTCTTGGGTCGTGGTTGGGCTGCTTTCAACAAGGCTATCCTTTCCATTGATATTCGCAGTCTCTCTACTGCAGTTGATTTCACCTCATCTTCAGGCATATATTCCACCCCACCATCAGTAAGGTCATCCAACCAACCCTGAAGATCTGATCCAATCTCCTTAGTAATAGATGCATCAGATGCTCGTACCACAAACTTACACATCATGGTTGTCGTCTCATCACCCAAATCCACATTTCTACTCACTTCACTTGCACCAAAAATCATCAACCCCAAGAAGCCACCATGCCATGTTTTAGCAGCATAACATAACTGTTCCAAAATAGGACAAAGGAAAAGGGTCAGCAAATTCATATGCCCCAGTGCATACAGTTTCAGAAAATGTAAAAACCGAGAACATAGATTGAATAATGAATATTAACACTGCTAAAAATTTTAAGATGACTAAATTTTAAAGAACTTATTTATAGCTTATTTAGGCTTATCTATGACATAAGCACTAGTGTAAGTGTTTGGGAGAGCATATTAAAATTGCTTATGAATTACGGAATGTTTGTGTTGTTTTTAGTTTATCTTAATAAGTTATGCATGATATATAGCTTAGGAAAACAACTTAAAATTTAGAAAACAGTTCAACCACACAACTTCTTTGATTATACAAATACTTTATCTATAAGTGCGTTATAATAAGCACTTACTCACTAAAGTGAATAAACACATAATTAAACTGTTTGGCCAAATGCACCCTAGGCGAATTCATGAATGGTACAAAACATTTTTAATTATTTCAAACAGAAAGGCATAATAAGGAAGGGGGGAAATTATAAGATAGCGAATCCAGACCTGAAACCCTGCAACTGTACGGATAATATGTGAACAAACTTTGTGGAATGGCTTGGAAGACAAGGATTTCAGACCACTCAAGAAAGGAGATGCACCATACTGCTGGGCTGCAGTAGCCTGAAAGCCACTCCCTTCATATGTATATGTACCAGTGTATTCTACAATAGCGGGCAAACTGGGCCACAGTCGGAAAAACTCAACTGGTGATATCTGGTGTGGTAAAAGTAGCTCCGTCAATGGAATTTTATAGGGTTGACATCTCAAAATCACGGGTTCACCTAACTCGGGTCTTAAGCTTCTCTTCTGTCTCATGACTTGAGGATCCTCCTCAGCATAGTCACCTTCATAGTCTCCAACAGCACCACTACCATAGAATGGGTAATACAGCACTTGAACCCAAAGGGCACATCTTTCAAAGTGGGAAACACCAACCGTCACACTGCACAGCACTGGATCCTGAAAAGGTAACATCATCCCCGGGAATTTGGATCAAGAAGCTATTGTAAATCAAAGAATAGTATAGGATTACTGTATAAAGAGACAATGCAAACCTTGACACGTAGCACAGAATTTAAAATAACCCAGCATTATTTACATACTGTCAAGTCCTATACTCTAAATTATCAGGCAATAATACCTTAAAGGCTGCAAAGATATAACAAAAGAAGGTAGACAATTGAAACCAAGTTCAGTGGGGGACAGAATCAACTTTAGAATAAGAACTACAAAGAGGAAGGAAAAAACAACTACAGATAAGATAGAAATCCTCAAAAATGAAATCTTAAGAGCTACTACTACAAGAATGAGTGTCATTTTCATTTGGTATTGATTCTTGTTTTACAGTATTGTTTACATTTTATTTAAATTTGTGATCCATTCCTTTCTTTGTTAGACCTCTTCAAACTTAGAAATAGTTCGGAGTAAATCTATGGTGAATCTGGTAGGAACCCAGAACAGAATAGTTTGCTAAGTGACAAAGGTTAAAAGAGTTTTCCCTTTGATAGGAAACCAAAAAGATCAAAACAGTTTAAAGTGTATTATTCACTAAACCAAAAAGATCAAAACAGTTTAAAGTGTATTATTCACTAAACCAAAAAGATCAAATGAATTTGCTCTTATACTTCAGGATGCCAATATAGCCCCCTCTCCATGACACTATCTCCCTATATTCCTTTCCAAACGTGGTAAGAATATTTCACAACCATCCGTCACTAAAAGCTGACAGATAATGAAACAGATCGTTTTAGAATCCAACCCCACTGTCCTTCAACATGTATGATAGTTTATAATTGATCATCATAGATTTGAATAAATCCTTTGCCTAAAAAATTGCCATCTTTTTCTTTTGAGATATGCATGAAGGTAAAAGCAATCCCACATTCGAAACTACAACAAAATATATGGAGCTGATTATTTACAAAATAAATTAAGCAAATTAAAAAAAAAACCTACAAATTAGGACAACTTTACATGCAAACAAGTTGTTCAGTGACCACATATTTTGCTTCGCCTTTAGTAGACTTTTTTCAAATATAGAATTAGCCAGCTGTAAACTTCCAGTGAATCCAAATTAATAATACTAAATATTTTACATGTGTCACAAAACAGACCACTTTTGCAACAATAACTAAGCCTTATTTCACTTGTGGTATGATATGGTATGATATGATCTCCAACTTTCACTTTTAAGTTAGAAACACTTCTTTTGCTAAACTTACATTCCATCAGTGTTGTCAATGACGGTCCATGGCAGAGACAAAATCCCTCCATACCGGACGCTTTGTTGTGCCGTCATAGTGGATTATGGCGAAAAAACACACAAAATCGGCTGATACTTACCATTACGGCAAGCCCAAAAACAGCCATGCGCCCCATGGCCAATATTTGATAACACTGCATTCCATATACTTCGTCTTATTTTTGCTCAAGCGAAAGCCATACGCTTCTAAGGCTTGTATCTAAATTTAATTCTTCAACCTCTCATTTAATTCCTCCCTCGACACTCCAAGTAAGACTGTATCATTTGCAAAAAGCATACATCTCAGTGCTTGCTCTTGGATATGCTCCATAAGAACATCCAAAACTAAAGTAAAAAGGTAAGAGCTAGGGTTAACCTTGATGCAATCCTTTTGTTATGGGAAAATTGTCCGTCTCTCCACTGTGTCCTCACACTAGTTGAGAGAGACCACCTCGCACATGTAAAGAATAGCTCGAATATAAGCAGTCCTATCCCCTTTCTTCTCTAGGGCTTTCCACACCGTCTCTTTAGGCACTATCATACGCCTTTTTCAAATCAATGAAAACTAAACTGCATGCAAGTCTGGTTGATCCATTTGATACCGCTTCATCACACGCTGTAGTAAATTTTTTTATGTTTACCATGTTAATTTTTCTACATCCTTCTCAGGTTTTTTTCGTCAGTCAATTAATTAAAATATAGTTAGAAGTAAACTTCTTGTGAATCCAACTAAATAAATGTTCTAGAGGTGTCAGCAGAAGTCGGCGTGCCTAATTAGCCTTGGAAAAAACATTGGGCGAGGCCATGTTTTTTTATTGGTCCAAAAAAAATTTGGCAGGCGCAGGCTGGACTTAACTTATTTAAAAGAATCAAAATAGGCTGAACTCATAAGGTCTTCATGTTTGACACCTCGGTCTGAATCCAATCTAGGCAGACAGACACATCCCTCAAAACTGTCTAGACATGTAAAACAAAAGGAGAAAGAATAACCAAGAATATGCAAATGCAAAATAGCCATCTCAAACTGGAATGAAATTAGCAATTTAGAGGAGAAGCAACCTGTGAAACAAGATTACGCAACTGCCGCACTGCTTGAGAAGAACCATCCATATAATATAATGCACCAGATAAACCCACTCGAACATCCACCCGATTTAATTCAAGCTCGGTTAAATTTAAGACCTGAAACATTTATTGTAGTAAATCAGAAACATTTTAACTTCCATTAGATAAATCTGTGCAAAAAACAAACAATATCCTTGTCCTTGATATTTATACTTTAAAACTTGAACTATTGAGTAATTCTTGAAAACTTTGTAATCTCTTTATCAACAGATTATAGAAAAATAACCAAGGCACAAATAAATAACATCAGTATTTCTTCTAAGAAGTTATGAATATAGGAAGCTGCTGCATGCCTAAGTGGAATAATTTACAGCTTTTTTTAAGTTGTAATTTTTTTACTGGAATACTATTTACACACTAATGCAACTTTCTGACTAATATACTGGAATACTATTTACACACTAATGCAACTTTCTTACAAACATACCGGAACATTAGCTTTCAAAAAATAACAAGATTGTAATGTTAAATATGTTATGTTCTACCATTAAACAAGATCAATTTTTCAGTGTGTATCTGAAGAAAACAAAATATACAATGGTTCCTCACATTTTTTAGGTAAAAATTAATCGACTAAGCTTAACATCAAGTTCCATCAGAGGTTTCACAGGAACCATTGCAAAAAAGTACAGCCTGCTTAAACGTATAAGGAACCCTAAAAATTGACAAATAAAGGTATGGTTGAGGGCTTGACCTTTAAATGCAGAGTTATCCTCCCATCACTAGAATCTGCTAAATGATAACCTTCAACATAGCAAGGATCACTGCTTCCAGTTAAAGTATTTGCAGTAGGAGGAACCTTGAGTGAAGTAGAATCAACTCCTTTGGTAAGCAAAAGGGTTAGTTCACTGGGGTCAGGTCTCCATAGCTCTAAAATAGCTTTGTGAACCAATCCTTCCAACTTCCTATCCTGAGCAGCAGATGCTTCATAAAACTGAACAGTTAATTTGTGGTGGCTAAATGGATAGTCCCCTCTGGCTGCTGTAACACCAGCCCACCTGGGGAAAAGGTAATAATAATGATAAGAGACATAATAGCAATAAGTTATAAAGTAGTGATTAAGTTTATGATTTAGTATAATAAAAGTCGTAGAACATTGTTAACATTAGAAACAACCAATAAGCACAAACTCAACTAGCAAGGAACAAAACGGCAAGAAGCTTTCTGCAACCAGCACCATTACAACTAAAATTTTAATCATAATAAACTAGATTTTCAACGAAATGATCACGTAAAAGGAAAAAGAAAGAGTAAACTGAGGAAAACAGGAATGATTAAAGATCGATGACAATGTGAATAGCTGGATTCAAGATGACAATGTGAACTGCCGGCAGTAATGTACATTAATCTTCATAATATTCGCACCTACTATCAGGATGAGCTGAAGCATATTTGATTCTTTGCAATATTAAACGGCACTGGTGCTTGCTGACAGAATCAGCCAAAGCATTGGTCCTAAACTCTTCAAGCTCCTTAGAAAGTAGCTGTCCAGCTCTAGGGTGGCGTGATCCTAATCTTTGAGCAGATATAAGAACTGCCTGTACATCTTGGACTCTATTTGTTGTATCTGCAGTTGAATCAACATTGAAAAGAACCTTATGAATATTGGATACAATGACATTAAGAGGATCATCAGGGTCGTCTGCTAGGAGTGGATCCAATCCTTCTATATCTATGTGCTCTGCAATAGCCCATATAAGGCGGGCCAATATTCTTGGTGTATTGACCTGTTACATTCACAGCCATTAATATGCAAGAGTTGAAGTCCAGAAAACACCTATATGTGATTATGCACAACATGAGTAAAAAAGTTCAAGTATTTGAGGAAATTCAAGTTACTTAAAATTGATTTGTAAAAATGATATATAAAATAAAAGGAAGGAAAGAATAAATGTATAAGGGGCAAGAAATAAAAATCTCATAATTACAACAGATATTTTATTTTAATTGTCATAATCTGTGAAGAAACTTATCCTTTTCTATCAAAAACGAAAGAGAAATTTTCTTTGGTATAATATATGTAGTTGCAGAATAAATAATTTTGCTCAGAGAAACAACTTGCTAGTCCAAACATGTCCTAAAGGTTTTATACTAAATTTAAAATACATATGTCCCAGAAGACTCAATAAATATCTTCCAGGATCAAACAACCTAAAGTCAAACTAATTCAGCAAATCATGGAGATGGAACTGAATAGCCAAACTAAGTAATGAGTGACAAATTAAGCATACCAACAACAAAATTTCCAAATCAATTTTTATTGCATTTCAACAGATGTGTCAATTGAGGGTTCAATAAAAAAATGTCCCAAAGGATTCATAAAATATCTTCAAGGTTCAAACAATGTAAAAAATAATTCAGCACACCGTGGAGGTTAGGATTATTATAGAACAAAGGGAGGTTATAATAGTTGTGAGTTGTTAGAGTAGTTAGTTAGTTGAGGTTGTTATACAGAGAGTGTATAAATAACAGAACACAGAGTAGAGAGCATCTTTGAATATTGTAATTATGAATAGAGTATTCTCTATTGTTAAGAGGAAAGTTTTGTAGGAGAGATTCTCTCCTATTCTATCATATGTCCTAAATAAAGTGTTCTTTCTGTTCCTTTCAATTCTTGGGTTCCTAATTGCTTTGATCTGCCAGATCTTTGAGCAGTGCCAATTATTAGAGATAGCTTTGTATATCGTGACAGAATTCAGTTATGAATTCTGTTATGAGTTAGTTGGGATATTCAACTATATATATACTCTTGTAACTGTTGTGATGAATAGATTGAGATCATTTTTCATTTCTCTAACTAACTCTCTCTTCTTCTCAATCTCTCTCTCTCATGGCTCACACCTTCTAACACCAATGTTTGTGGAAATGGAGGCAACACAAATGATGGATTTTCCAACTTTTCCAAGGATAGACCCCATTGGGTGGGTTACAAGGGCTGAAATATTTTTGAGGAGCAAGAAATTTATGTGTTTGGTAAAGTGAAGTGGGCGTTTATGAGCTTGGAGGCTTGCACACTACTTTGGTTTTGTTCTTCAGATCAAGAAAACCCAGATTCAAAACAAAAAGAGATGAGGAAGGACCAAGAAAGAGCAGAGGGTGCAACCCTGTGGTCAAGAAGTGTGTCAAAAGGGTTGGCATATCTAAAAAGTTGATGAGTCAAGGGGTAAATATGCTCCCATGGTGAGTCTAACAAGATGAGGGCCTAGGTTGTTAATCTCAGGACCTCCAAAATGCTATAGCGGCATAGCGGATAACGGGATGACCGCTATTGTGAGCTTTAAAAACCAAGGTAAATACTTAACATGAATACATAAATCCTTAAAATAAGTTCCAACAACATACATGCCTTAAAAACAGAAGTTACGATAACATACATAAATTCCAACAGCACCATGAATATAAGTTCCCATCAAAATCAACTTATATATGTACTCAAAATTCCTAAACCAAATTCTAAATGTAAACAAAATGACTAAATCACATCTACGTCTGCCTCATCTTCACTTCTAAGTTCTACCACAATAATATCATCTTGCCCATCCCAAAAATCACAGACAATAGGTTTTTTCTTTGGTCTTTGTAGGAGTTTCACTGCCAACCCATGTCAATATTGTCTCCCAAATGGTTTAAAAAAACCTTTGTTGTTGGAAGTTTGTGTCAAACTTGCAGAAGATGATGTCGTGGTTGCTAATAAAACAGAAACAGCAACACAACAAAACAGAGCAAAACAGGGAAGGCAAAGAGCAAAACAGAGGAGAAATCAACTGTGAATGGATAAGAAAGGTGAAGAACTAGGGATGAATAGGTGAAGAACGGTGATGATTTTGGAAGAACCATGGATGGCTTGCTGATTTACGAGGATGAATGTTGAGGAAGTTTTGCAAAGAAGATGGCTTTATGAAACACAAACACGCGAGTGAAGAGGGAAACTCCAAAAAACATGTGAAATGACCTAAAGCAAACACTTGTACTTTTATATTTAGGTCAAATAAAAGGATCAAAATGTTTTCCCTTTAAAAAAGATTGAATTTACAAATATACCCTTTCTTCACAGTAGTGGTCTCTGTAAACCACTACAGAACCGCGATTGCGCCACAAAATAGCAGCCGCTATTCACGCTATCGCAAATAGCGGTTAGCAGCGCAAAAGTGTTGCGGTGAGGTCTGATCCCACTACACTATAGCACTTTACCGACAACCTAGATGGAGGCACAACCTTCTCCAGAGTAGATCTTGCCACAACAGCAAAAACAATTTTATGAAGAGACAGCCAACACTAGATCTTGACTGCATTGGTTATGAGTTGTTAGAGAAGTTAGGTAGTTGAGGGTGATACAGCGGAGTATAGAGAGCATCTTTGAATATTGTAATTGTGATTTAAGTATTTCTATTGTGAAGGAGAAACCCTTGGAGGAGAGATTCTCTCCTATTCTATCATATTTTTTAAATGAAGTGTTCTTTCTATTCCATTCAATTATTGGGTTCCTAACAGAATCACTGAGTGATGACCGACAAATTCAAACCCACCAACAACAAAATTTCATTGTCAAATTTATTGGCATCGCGACAGATGTCTTAATGGTGGATTAAATAGCCACAACGGGAAAAACTTTAGTAGGGTAAAGTTGATGGTCTTTTACTCTAAAGTTACCAATTAAAATTATAACAATAATTATAAAAGCACTGTGAGTGATATTTCGCCGCATAGATGCTATTGTCAGAAAATAAATCTTCTACATGGATGCAGTGCTGAATATGAGATGTTATAGTTTGTGTACCTCACGTAAGTCCTTCACAAGTTGACGTTGCAAATTTTGCAATCTAGTCTCGTTCAAAATTTGGTCCTGAGAAGCACCATCTTTGACTCTTTTTACCCCGCCCCTAGTATCGTAAATGCAGCATAGCCGAACAAGCAACTTCAAGTAGCAGTCAATTGCATAGGTGCGTCCATCACAATCCCATTTAACGCAAGGCCGACAAACTTCAACCACTTCTAATGAAGGTTCTGTCCAGTTTAATGCACCATAACCAGTTCCGTATGCTAAAGCCCCAATGACCCTGCCCTCCATGCCTGAGTTTTTCTGTTCAGGTAAAGGCAGAGACAGCTGAAAGCAACTTTCCACTAGAGATGCAACTAACTCTTCTCTAAATATATTTTTACTTGTAGTGCTCTTAAGATCATCATTCACTCTGGCATCCTCAAAAAGGGAAGCAATATCAGTTCCGGCAAGAGGTTTCTGACCTCTTCGAACACTTTCCTTAGCAAATAAGTCAACACAAAGAGCTGTTCTACAAATACAAGCTAAAGCATGCATACGATCTGATTCTGCTCTCAGGTTTCTCACCATCAAAAGTAGCCTCTTGAAAAGTGAAACCTGCAAGAAGACATGGTTATAGACAATAATAAGCACTATTGCATCAAAAACAAGCAACTTTATCTGACCAAACATCCAATGTTACTTATAGAAGATCCTGTATCACAAAGATATATAATAAAACACATTTCAAGCGCTAAGGACAATAGTCACAAAACATCAATGTCATAATAACTAATATAAAGATGAGAACTGAATATCTGCATAATCAAAATCTTGACCAATTAGCATGTTTTGTGACTTTTGTTCTTACATGAGCCAAAATAAACCTTTACATATTATTAGGAAATGCATAGCCTAGTGATGTAAAGCTTGAACCGGATATTTGCATATGAGTACTGAAACTTGATGCCATTCATAATTCACAAATCAAAATAAACCTTTACATATTATTAGGAAATGCATAGCCTGGTGATGTAAAGAAATAAAGTAATCAAAGTCTCAATTGGTAATTATGGTAGAATACCCCTGTGATTTTGTGATGCCACGATCTTTGATATTATGAAAAATTGTAGACATAACAAATATGGTTGATGTGTTTGTAGTTGGTGGTTACGCATCAACAATACTAAAAGAAAAAGAAAACTTGTGTAGCCACTGATCCTATTTTGAAACATTGAAACTAATATGCAATTAATGGATTTGAACAAGACTAGAGTTGTCAATCACCTGCATGTTAAGATCAAGGAGATGAAGATTGGTGACAACAGCCCTAACAATACTCTCTCTAGCAGAAGCAAATTCCTGCCTATCCCACAGCGTAAGAATAGCAATGGTGGATTGTGATGCCCATTCTGTCTTCCCTCCAGGCACATCCGCCAGATATAACATATTAATCCCAACTTCATAAATCAACGCCGGTTCCAACGAGGAAACCAAAAAAGGAGCCAAATGAGTAACCACATCCGAAACACCAACCAATTTCTGAGCATCAGAATCAACCTCAGCACCAGCACTGCCAACAGTAGAAGACTTTGACAACTTGCGAATGACCTCAACGCCACCAGATGCAACAGCCTTAACCGAATAAACAATCGGAAAGACAGTAGCCCGGAAATTCTCAACAGGCAAGATCAAGGACCGAGCCATAAGCGCCCTGCGCTTCTTCCAAACAAAATCAACCATGGAGGAAACCCAATTAGAGCGAATAGCAAGTGAATTTTCGCTATCAACTAGTTTATCACCGGCGAGCTTACTCATCCGCTTAGTACCAAACTCTTGGAAGAGCCTGCCAACCGAATCGAAAGCCACCCTCGAAACAGTATCAGATCGGTCCAGCATGTTAGCACCGATGCGAGCCCACCAAGCGGAAACACGATCGAGAAGGTTGACATTGTTTTCACAGAGTGTGACGAGATCGTCACGAGCGAGGACACAACCAAGGGTTTCAGTGATGGAGAATCTGAGATTATCGCTTGGGGAATCGAAACAATCAGAGATCTCTTTGTTACAATCGGAAATGAGTTTGGCTAATCGGTAAGAAGGGATCGCGGCGAGAATTGAAACAGCAGCGGCAGTTACGTCGGGATCAGGGAAATGGAAGTCGTTACGGATACCAGTACAGACAGTGTCCCATAAATCAGGAGTTAAGCGTGTGGAGCGGATGACATCGAATGCGAGCTTCTTACAGACGGCGGAGGCAGGTGCGGCGACGATCTCTTCAACGGCGGACTTGGCGATGACTGCGATGTCGCGACCGGCGGCGGATTGTTGGAGGGCTTGAAGAAGTGCGCCGGATTGACGGAGGGCGTCGTTGGAGCGGAGGTCAGCTTGGATCTGGGCAAAGAGGATGTCCATTTGGATGAAGTTGGTGAGAAAGTGGAACGGAATCACGTAATAATTTGGTGTTCAGGAGTGTGAGAGAAAAAGGGAAGGATTATGGTGATGATGTTTGTGGGAGAAATGACCATAGTGGTGATCTCGTTTACTTGGTAAACTGAGAGTGTTCATTCAAGTCTAGATGCTATCAGCAAAGACATGTTGGAAAGATGAATGTCTTCAATATTTTCATTCATCCTTCAATCTCAATGCTACAAGTGTCTATCATTTCTTCAATTTTTCACTTTTACATATATTTTCACTCTTTTACAAACTTTCCCATTTCAAATTTTGAATCTCTTTCTAAAAGTTTTTCCTTATTCACTTTTTCAGAACATGTAATTATTTTCACTTTATTTTAACTCTCTTTGCTTCGACACAATGAACCATAAATCTCTATTTATTCATCTTTATCATCACATTACAGACATTGAATATATTTTTTAAGTCTACTTATTATGTTTTTCTCTTCCAATATTTGGTTCTTTTTTATTCAACACGATTTAACTCTTTTTAAGGTGTGTTCTTCCTCATTATGTGTTTCAGTGTGTTGTTTTGATTGTTTAATTGTGTTCTTTTCTCAAATTTTGGTGTTTATTATGTCCCAACAAATGTACAAGTACAATATTTCGCTGTGTTGTTTTGAGTTTAGGTTTATTTTCTTCATTTGATTGTTGTTGTTTTTGTGTTCATATGTTTTCGTGTTGATGTAGTTTTCATAATGTTGTTGTTTCTGTTTTCTTTATGTCGTTTTCAATCTGTTTCCGTTTAGAAATGTTTATACCGATTTTCTTTTCTTTTTTGATACATTTTATTGAAGATTGAGTGTAATCACATACTAAAGTGAACATACATTTATCATCTTTCGATTTGAATTTTGGATATCAAAAATCACTTTATTCTTACTTTTACTTTTTTGAACTCTCAAAATAAAGTGAGCACACTTTATTGACAAGTTGTGGAAGTGGAAGAAGAAGAAGGAACAATATTGGATCTGAAAGAATGAGAATGATCAGAGGAAAAGAAGAAGAAATTGACACGCTAGACGAAAAGGAAACTAGAAAAGAGAGTAACTCAGCGATGAACCGTCTTCGCTTTTGCTTTCTTCTTCGTATTGAATCATCTTCTCTGCAAGGTTTGCGATGGTAAATATGTACTTTTGTTCTTAAATTTTGTGTTTATACTAATCGCGTGAGATATTGGATCAAACTCTAATATGGTCGAAGGGTAGCTTCTGATTCGATAGGATTTAAGCATGAGGTCGAAGTCTGTTCGCATGTTGCTGTCGAAGATAATGCGTGTTGTAGTCGAAGTTTGCTCTAACATGCTTTAGTCAATATTGCTAGGTTGTTAGCATATTGGATTGGGTCTTGCTTGTAAGCCCAAGTGTTTAAGTTAGCTTGTACCCTAAGTTAGCTTGTAATGGGTAATTGTTAAAAAGCTCATTAGGTTAGTGTGTTATTTTTCTTATAAATAGGATGCTAGTTTCTCAATCTTGACATAAGAAAAAATAGGAAGATAAAATCCTAATTTCAAAAGAGAGGGGTTATTTTGTTATTCTTGTATACTTGTAATCTTGTTCTAAAAGAAAGGAAAGAATAGCAGTTTAATAACAAATCCTTGTTGTTCCTTGTTATTTTACCTTGTCTTATTTGTTAACCCTAACCCTTGTGTGTTTCTTGATCATTAAGAAACCATATATATTTTGTTTCAAGGTATCTGATTCATAACAAATTGGTGCAGTGAGCGTGGAGAAGATGCCTTCAACAAAGTTTGAGATTGAAAAGTTCACCAGAGTGAACGAATTCGGTCTGTGGCACTTGAAGATGAAAGCCCTACTGGTTCAGCAGGGTTGTTTGGAAGTGTTTAAGGGAGAGGCAGCCATGGACATTGTGTTAACGGTAAAAGAAAAGACGGACATGATCGAGAAAGCCCACAATGCAATATTGTTGAGCCTTGGTGATAAGGTTCTTCGACAGGTATCAAAGGAGACTGCAACATCGGGATTATGGGTAAAACTTGAAAGTTTGTACAAGATCAAATATCTGGTGAATCGACTATGTCTGAAGCAAGCTTTATATTCATTCAAGATGAGTGAAGACAAAGTGTTGACTGAGCAGTTGGATATGTTCAATAAGCTGATTCTTGATCTTGAAAATATTGATGTGAAGATCGATGATGAAGATTAAGCATTGTTGTTGTTGTGGCTTTTTCCAGAACACATGCTCACTTCAAAGAAACTCTCTTGTATGGAAGGGAGTCCCTGACCTTTGAAAAAGTTCAATCAGCCTTGTATTCTAAGAATTTGAACGAACGAAAGGAGCATAAACCTTCGACCGTGGGCGAAGATTTGGCCGTTAAGGAAAAATTCTTACGAAAGGATGGTAAGTTCGACAAGAAGAAAGGTAAAAGTGAACAGAAGTCTTATAGTGGCAAAACATCTGGAATTCAATGTTATCACTATAAGAAGGAGGGTCACACAAGAAAGGTGTGCCCTGAACGCCTGAAAGATCATGGAGGTAATGGCAACGTAACCATTGTTCAATATGACTTTGACTCATCTAACGTTCTTGTGGTTTCAAGTGGCGACTCGAGAAAAGAGTGGATTATGGATTCATGTTGCACTTGGTGTAACACCCCCTTTCTATACCCCAAATAATCAAATAAATCATTTAAGCACATATTAAAATTTCATCAGAGTAAAATTAAATCATGGTATAAAAGGAGCATGTCGCACATACATGACAATTAAAACACACAACACCTGCTTAAATAAAGATATGCAACAATGGGGTAGCTGCAACATAGGAACTTCGTCCTTACGCCCATATCTCAATATTTAAAATTAAAGTGGAAGATCAAAACATTTGAATCACTTAAAGCATGTTATCATATAAATACATGTCATCCAGTTTGGTTCACAATTAGTCATGTTTACATAAACATCATCAGCTGATACATATACAAATGTATCACAAAAGAATACTATACAATCCTAACTACCCGGTGCTACATATCAGAGCTGACCGAGATTTAGAAGAAGGGTCGAAGTGAGTTTTTGAAATTCGAATCTTGGAGGGAGTAGTTATATTTTCTTATGACTAAGAAGGACAAGTGGCTCTCATCGGATAAAGGACTGCATGTGGTCTGACACTTGTCAAGAATAGATGGCCTAAGGGGTTATTAGCGGTTATTAGCAATTACTATTATTATTATTATTATAAATAGGAGTCTTAGACATAAAACTTGGTGTGTTGTAATTTACTGTTGTACAAGTCACTCTTAAAATTACTCCAAGTATCCGAGTGTAGAGAAAGAGAGTATTATAGAGAATGTACGTGATGTAAACACATCATCCTTTATCTTTTCAATGACGTTATTTTGTTTCTTTACTTTTGTCAAGTACTTTTATTTATTTGTTTCATCTTTCCCTCTTGTTCATCATTACTACTTCGATTAAGTCCTTCCCTCCCAAAAACAACCCTTAGCTCTTCTCCCCCTAATAATTCTTCTTCCTTCTTTCTTTTAAACATAGTGGATAATTTCTGCCCCCCTTCGTTAAGTTATTTCTTCTTAGTATTGTTGAAACACATTTCTAGATAGGTTCAAATAGAAACACCCTTCAGCATATATCCTAGGATTTCGTATGGTCAATCCTGCAAGTTAGTCAATTTGACACCAAATTGATAGACCAGAGGTTGTTTACCAAAAAAACACGGTAAACAAAATGGCACACCTGGTGGGACAGTGCTGAACAAAGAAAGTTTTGAGATCATAAGAATCTAAAAAATATAAGCCTTATCAACTTTTCTTCAAAATACATTGTATGTTACTAAGAAGTGGCAGAATAACCACTACGAACGAAGAAAGTTTAGTAAGACATAACACTAGGAATATGGCGACGGAACCCGTTCAGCCAAATGGCCAACAAAATGGCTCTAGCGAAGAAACAAGAAACGACGGAGCGTCGACTTCAATACCATCAACGGGAGAGCAAATAGGGCTCCCGGTAAGGCCTGTACCAACACCTTCAATATTAGGGGTTGGGTCGACTGTAATAAGACCCTATACTCAACCAGTATTGGAATATATCGGGCCCCAAGTGTCAAATCCTCAGACACCATTAGAAGGAAGCCCCTTGCCTAGGCAAAATCCTCTTCCTCGATTGTACAGATGCTCAGGAATCCAACGTATGGAATGCCTACAACTGTGATGCAGGGGCTTCAAAATGCTCCCCCCATCTTTTCAGATAACCCTATGACTTCTCCGTTGCAAGGATCAGGATCTGGGGTGAACATTGGTCGAAGTTTCCAGGGCCAGAGTCTGGGATATTCGACGCAAGGCCCCAACTTGACCAATACCTCAGTCGCATGCTTGAGGCAACAGATGGATGAGAGCAACATGCAAATGGTTCAGACTTTGTCCCAAACTATGGGTGAGATCTTTCAGCCATTGATCCATAACACCACCCAAACCAACCAACAATTGACGCTGCATTTGACGCGGTTGGCTGAGTTTATGGGAGTACCCCCTGTACCTAGAAATCAAAACACAATGGCGAACGTCCCTCGACAAGATGTAAGAAACACAAGGGAAATACACTTAGAAAATCAGGTTAGAGTCGAACCTCCCGTAGTTGAGGCGGTAAGAGAAAACCAAACGAACCAGGTCCATGTTCTAGACGAAGGTAACCAAGGAGTGGTCGTGATAAACCAAAACCATGATGCAGATCATGTGGTCCAAGAAGTTCGACGCAATAATATAGCCATTGACAACAATCTAGCGGCCATGGTCGAAAGGATCATGGCTCGGAAATGGAGTAAACACTGGTTTTACTCGACCAAACTTTACATCCCCGATAGTAGATTACATCCTTCAAACAGAATTACCCCCTAGGACGAAAGTACCAAAATTTATGAAATTCTCAGGGGATACGACAGAATCTACTGTCGAACATGTGGCTCGATATGTGATCGAAG